CCGGATCTGAATAAAGGTAAATTTTAACATATTTAGGAAAATAAGGGTTTATACACTGCTAAGACTTTTTCTGATAACAATCGATCTGTCTGCTATAATGCTTGGAAGCGGCAGTACTCACTGTTGCCATCATAAATAGCCAGGCTAAACTAAATTATAGAAGTCAATTGAACGTGTTTTCTCAACTTTTTCATGTTGTAAAGCCGACTTAGTAGAACGCACCTAGTCCGAAGTTGTCTGCGATAGCATTTGTCATTATTCCCAACATCAGACAGTGGACATGGTGCATTCTCAAACGTTTTTTTTGGCATCGTAGTCGGCAGCATCAGTGAGTTCTGCCATTCTTTGCACCAAGAGACAAGTGAAGCCATGCTTATTTTTGAATGCATTAGAAGCATGTAGATTGCCACCTCGCCGAACAAAGCAAGATGTATTCTTGTCTACTGTTTAAGCAGACTCGGGGAAAACAAGTATAGTTCAAGACCAGCAAAAAGAAGACGCCTGTATCAAGTTTCTACCGCAAACCGGAGGAAAATAAATTAAGATGAAGAAAGTTAAGGGCAGGGATTTTCGGCAATAAAGAGCAGACGTTGTCAATGAGTGATGTCAATTTCGAATAAACCAGTACAACTTTGGAGGCCTGGCAGTCAGGGAGATGAACAAATGGATAAGCGAAGCGTCACGGAAATTCGGCGTTAATGCCAAAATCCACTTAAATGCCGCTAGAGATTGCTTAGATATCATGGGTTTAATCAAGAAGAGGAACCGTGAAAAGAAGGCCTGTTATCTGCAAGTATGGGAATAAAAGTCTACACGCTCTGCTCGTTTAGGCGGCCATGTACGTGCTTCTCGGACCTTGAGATATAGCGCCTGGAGAAAAATGTACGTTAGAACCGGAACCGAGTAAATTTTGTTAATCAGAAAGATAAGAAATTGATCTACGAGACAATTAGGGGATCCGGATTGGAGGCCCCGAGTCAGATCAGTCGATCGAAAGAGAGGAGTCGTGGTGACAAACGGGTGTGATAAGGCCACACTAGATTTACTACAAAAGTAAACACATTTTGACGAGTTGAAGGTAAAAACGTCAGAAGTTGTGATAGGGTAAAAGTGGAATAAGATGTTTAAGAGTAGATGGAAAGGCCAGGACAGAAAGACTAGTAATAGTGTCACCGTTTTCGGCAGAACGGTTGCGAAGGCATTGAATTCTCTTGTTTCTTTGACGAGTTCGTAGCTTGGTGCGGAGAATAGCAAAGCTAAATGATGATGCCGACTTCGATTCCGGCGAAACGTTTGAGAATGTACCAAGTCCACTGTCTGATGCTGGGGATCATGACAACTACTATGGCAGACGACTTTGGACTAGGAGTGTTCTACTAAGTCACCCTGACAACAATTCCAAGTTGCCACAACGAGGTTAACCCACTTCTATAAATCGAATGGAGACTGGTACCATAGTGAGTTGGACACCATCTTGATCTACATATCTTCTTTTAAACAAAATTATTTTTGCATCTGAGTTCCAGATTCAGTACCTTATTTAAAGGACATGTTTTTTCTGTTACATTGATTTTATATCCTCTTGCCGTATTGGGATATAAAATCTATACTCACATGTTCGGCCCGATATATCTGCTCCTCTAGATTTTTTGTTGTTAATCAAAGTATAAATGGTAATTGTGCAACTTTGACAAGATGGCAGTTCTTCAGCTTTAAACTCTTTAAGATTGCCATCATTAATTGTTACAGCAGCCGAAGTTGCTGATGAACCGCATCTTTTCGTGTATTCGTATCTGGATGAACCAGTAACTGGCTGCATCCCTATCGTCAATGAATCTTCCGTTGCACTAAGTATCTGAAGATTTTTAGGGTCTTCGGGAGCTAAATGTCAATAAGAGAAAAAAATCAAAATCAAAAGCTAATAACAGAAAAATCAATGGTCAGATTAACAAAAAAATGTCAATGGTAGGAGGATGATTGCGAAATTTGCTTTTTTATTCAAAATAAATATCAATATATGTGCAAAGTAACAGAAGAGCAAGCCTAATATTTGATGAAAAAATAATACAGACGAGCTTTATCAGCAACATTTAAGCCAAACTCAGTCAACTTTTCGAAGAAAATTCCATTATATCTACAGATTTCATACTATATTATCTTATAATTAGACCCTGCATTTTATTCAAATCTAAATTTAGGTTCAATATTTTTAGAAATGTAAGCTTACGACTCATAGTCAATTTATCTTTTTTAACCTTTTTTAAAAAAATAAAATAAAATATATTTTTTTAGGAGATGTTCTGATAGTCAAGAGAGTAATCCTTCGCACAAATTTTGCATGTGACATCTGCAACTACTATTTAAATGCTTTGTGTGCATCAAAACTCTACTCAAATACGAAAAATGTTTGTGCATCGTCTCTTTTTCATTCACACTAAGCAGAAACAGATTTGACTATTCAATGCTTCACGGAATAGAGTAATGGTATAAAATTAATAGCACTAGGTGGAATGATGGAAGGGAAATCCCTTATTTTATCCCTTAATATATTTTTGTAATGGGTATTGTAGTTAAGTGTCGAAGACGTCATGCAGAATATAAGATACCGAGGCACAATTTAGCCCCTGCAATGGATATTGAAAATTAAGTAACAAAGCAAATAGAGAAATAAAGTTTGTCGGAATGAGCATTAGCGCTTTGAACCCAAGCATGTGTACCTGTAGGAAGTCAATTTTTTATAGTAAATGAGCTCTATTCACTTTATTTCCTCTAAGATGATGTAGGAATGGTATTTGAATTTTTCCACAGTGATATGAATAGAGCTAAAGTTTTCATTGCATTTCACATAAACTTTCGTTCTCAAAGTGTGTTCTCATCCCAACTGAAGTAGACTTCAGTTTCGACCACGCCTAAGTCTTGCCAACACACTCAGTAGGACGCGAAGCATGATAATGTAGCGTGTAATATCGATACTAACCACTAAAAATACATTTTCACGAGTTCTCTTGGCTCACAGGGCCGATATAAATTTCAAAGAAGGCCCGGCCTTTTCACATATCACATTCTTTGGTGGGATTGTCGATGACACAAAGGCAATCGACTACATGACATATTTTTGATTCGAGACTACAAGCAAATCAACCAGCAAATATAATTTGCTTCATAGAAAATCCAATTAATGAATATGATATGGAAAAATGCCTGGCAATCCTTGAACTTCACAGCTTTCCCATAACTTAAGGACATAGTGGTAAAGTGTTAAGCCCACACGCTACACTGTCATGGTCTGACTCCATCTGGAGGTGTTGACAAGACCAGTTGATGCTAGATCATCACTGCGGTTTACTCCAGCCGAAATGAAAACACCTATTTTGCAAAGTAAGGCTATGTAAAATTCAATGTAAACTTCATTCCCTTAAACAAAATTGTATGAATTCATTTCATACAATAGACTCACTGGCGGTCACAGAACCAAACTAATGAACGAAATATTTTTTCCATCGCCTAGAATGATGATCTGTTTAAGAATGCAATTAGGGTTTATGATTAATATCTGTATGTAGTAAGCCTAGAAACGTGTATTCAATCTTGAATGAGAGATGTTATCGCCATAGGTCGCATACGATAAGTAAGTACTGAAAAGTTACTATTCTTATAAGGATATGAATAGACCTCAAATTTCCTATAGATTTCCAATAGCGTTGATACCCTAAAAACCTTCATATCCAGAGTCAATTGTAGATTTAACGGCAAAACGTAACGGTCTTAACCCACTATGCGTGACTAAGTTCTCATGTGATAACTGAAAAAGAATTAGAAGATCAAACCTAAGAGATTTTATTGAAATTGGACTTGAATTTTATCAAAGGCCAGACCATTTTCCATAAACACATTTTATTATTAGAGTGCCGAGAAAGATGGCAAAGATGTATTTTATATTTTAGTAGATTAAATTTCTAATATTATAAGTAATTAAGTGTCGAAGAAACCGGTAGATCATGGATAGCAAATGTTAAGGAAATCCACAGAAGTCCAGTGTAGATTGCAATGCCTTTTTAGACGCAGCGCTATGCAAAATTCAATTGAAACTTGATACCAAATCTTATGACTTTGGGAATGCAGATTTTATTATTATAAATTAGGTTAAATGAAAAAAGTCCCAATTAGACCTAATCAGAATTCGTGCCAATAGATTGTCTTCTTTCGCTTGATGGTACAATTAAACTCGTTTAAGATGCAAGTCTATGCCTTGTGTAGAATGATGTAATTTGCCTGATGCCTTGGCTTCCTTGAGTTCCATTAACTAATCTTAAGATATAATCCGTTCACTAAAAAGGGCAATTATCAAATTTTGATGTAGCATTTCCGCCAATCAAATCAAAATAGAGTTTTAATACCCATTAATAATTTAATATTCTACTTAAATTGGTAGTCTGCAGGAAAGCCTAATCTAAAATTTGTCAAGGAATGCCTCGAAAGCAATAAAAAACAGCATTAACACTCTCATCTTGCCTTTCCTTAATCCGTAGACTAGATTCTGAAACACGCACTTAGAAGAAGCTGATCTCATTGCGAATGAATGAATATATTGGCAATGATTGTCCGCTAATACATATGGTTAACATGAACGAAAAAGATCAAAAAATAAACATATATAATTATGTCAACATACCTGGAATTTCGGTTTTACTATATACCATGACACTTGGTGTAGCCCGGCTTGGCTCACCAATATAGTCCCCATTCTTCACAAACACGGTTATGGTGTATTCCACATCCGTCATGAGAGAAGAAATTAAGAGAGCTTAAAGTGAAAATATTTCTCATTTATTCACAGAATAGTAATTTTGACATTTTTATGCATAACTATTTAACGTAGAATAATTTGTTTCTAGAAAATCAACATTATCCCAACGACCTACTTTAAAGGCATTCTACTTAGCATGCTCCATACAATATTTACTTGTTGGTTCAAAGCCGCATTTAAGCTAATATTAAAAAGAGGCTCGGCCCTATCAAACAATAGTATTATTTTACATTTTGTGTATTGAGCCTATTTCTTTTAGCGTAATAAAGGAGATTGATAGTTGGATGTTACACAGTCGGTTGAGTAGACCTAACTTGTACATTGAATTTCACATAGCCTTGCTTTTTCGAGAGGGATTATTATCTAGAGTGCGAAATTTAATTAGTTGCTCCTTATTACCTTAAACAAAACAAGGATAATGGACTTTATATAGAAATGGTTTACTGGTAGTCTTTAAAATTTAGTTATAAACTAAAAATAGGTACTATTGTACTTCTTAATATATAATGATATGCATAATTAGATACATTTATCGTATTATTTGAATAGTTATGGTTCGGTATTATGTGTTTGGGCAGGATCAGATAAATTAAAATTAAATAATAATGCCTTCTGAAACAATTAATAGCGCAACGTGTTAAAGAAATTGTAAAATCAAACTTTTCTGAGGATATACCTTTTATAATCCGTAAGAATATCGAAAATTTAACTATCTTATCAACCCTCTCATTTTCTTGAAGAAACACTTGCGATACAATAGGATTTCTATCTATGGAGCTATGTAAGTGTGTTCAAGGAAACTAATACATTCATATTAATATGCTATTTTAACGGTGAAAAAGTAATCCCTGTTTAGTTCTGCTTATCACAATTAGGTTCATGTTGTTTCGTCGAGATGTCAGACTTTTCTTTTAATTAATTCAGGAGTATCTATTAAAGTAAGAATTGATGATAATATAACTTAATTTAGGAATAATAAACTGTTGTAGCAAATTTGCTTGTCCCTGTTTTTGCAACTTGAGTGTATTAGCAGGGCGACCAAAATGAGCACAGCTTGTCCGAAATCCATAGTATGAATGTTGATTTCCAGAGTTTAACCGTCAACTTGGCTTTTTCACAAATGTTTCAGTGACATCATCAGCGAGCCCTACACACAAAACCACTAAAGAAACAGGTAAAGTTGACGCATCTCTCCTTCTTTTATGGTACATCTAATTTTCCTATATACTCGTTCAAAGATGTACCTTCATTCTTAGACTGAATATTTCTTCCGTTTCCATAACATTCTTCTGCGTACAATTATCGCATTTGATGTGATAAACTCTTGAGCCATCCAGTTAGTCAACCTTCTAATGTTTCATCAGCAGGCTGGGAGATGATGGCCTAAAATGTGGCAACTTTAAGCAGAATTCAATTAAAGAAACTGGAAGAAAGGTCAGTTCACGAAGGAGGGAACGTCAAGGAACAAGGGTATAGGAACGATGAATGTACCAGGATAGAAGTTCGGCCGGTAATTAGTCAAAAGATAAACTTCACTGGTCTCTAGCGATTTGCTGTGTAGTACGGAGATTGTGAAGGCTCACTGTCAATGCCAGCGGGAATGTGTGAAGTCCACGGTCAGCCTCTGGAAATCATCATGAATAATCTGAACTCTGGAGAAGCTAAGCTCATTTTGGTCGTCCTGGCAATACGCTCAAGTTGCATAGACTAGTTTATGTCTCTTAGTTATAATCCGATCATTTTATTGGCTTAATGGTATTAGAAACGTTATTTTACAGGGCTGGTTAACTTGATTTATAACCTAAGAAACAGGAACGACTAGTACAGAATTTACCTCTTTTTTTGTTAACGGTTTTTAGGAATGACTACTCTCCATAGAATTTAAATTTATAATTAATATGCTTATTTCCATTTCCAGTAGAATTGTTTGATGATGAGATTCGAAGGTCGATTTCTCCAGAAGACGGTCAGCAACGGATTCCTCTTGACCAGCTGTTAATTGGCTTTACTGAAAGATTCATGCTAAAGCTGTTTCCGAGCTAATCCAATTCGATTTTGGTTGCATCACGAACATCATCAGAGCCTCGAGGGTGCCATCGTCACAACCAAATTTAAGCTAACTAGTAAAGAAAACTAACCAGAAAATGCTACTACTAGTCTAAATACTTCTCATACTACTGATTTACTAGTAGTCTCGGAACTCTATAAATTATGTTCCAGGACAGCCAATTGATAGCTGATCAAAATAAATCCTTCGTCGTCTTCTGGTGGAATTGAACTTCATATCTCTTTACAAAACATTTTTACTTGAAATGGAATTAAGCAAAACAATTATGAAACAAGAGATTCCTCGAAACCCAACTTTTCTTCAAATTTATAACTCACAAGACTTGTTTGGGGGTGCTACCTCCATCTTTTCCAGTGGTTCCTTCGTGACTGGATTTATGCCTTTGGCCTTCACCAAATAAGAGAAGGGACAACTCAAAGTACTTTCTTCAGTGACAGCAGTCCATTTCACTTCGATTTCTTCTTTATCTTTATCAATCTGGGAGGCCTGCACGATGTCCACAGTTGGAAGAGCTAAACCAAAAATATGCTTGCGTTAAGAAAAAATTAAGGCTTAACGTTATTTGATAAATGGTACAGAGATTCTTTTATCACCGTCTAACATTACCTGGCGACTACTGTGCTTTAGACAGAAAAAGGTCAATTTATATTCATCCTAGCCACTCGAGATATTACTTGTTCAAATTGAGGATCATAGCTGCGCAAGAATGACAAATCTCTTAATTCTTTATTGGTGGAAATCCCACCACCACACTTTTTAGGCCAAGGTACTTTCTTTTTTTAAATAAAAGTCTTCATTGAGTAAAAAAATCTCTCTTCGATACAAATTGCGTCATATTAAATAGTTGCTTATGCCTACTTGCTCATCTGACAATTTTGAAAGGGTCTTGCAACAACGTCTTTTCGAATATAATCCATTACTATATATGCTTATTATTTTAGCTACAAAGCAATATAGCTATTTCTAGGCGATTCGCACATTACTGGCAGTTACTGGCAATAGATTCTTAAATATTTAATTGTATCTAATTATTGTTCAGTCGGGAAAGCATGAAAATATGGGACTTTGCAAAGCAGCTCTTTTGTTTCCTGTTAAAAGTATCCGCAAATTTATCAAAACACTTGGCTAGAAGCCAGTAATATTACATTTTCTTACGCATTTTTATTTGTATGCTTGTCCTGGGCGATGAGTTTCCGTCAGTAAGTGAAATTATCGTTAATTTATGCGACGTGCATTCCTTTAATTCTGTTAGAGAAATTAAGTTTCTAGTCGTATATAGTGTTGGACTTGGTGTTGCCTCACCAAGGGCAACGCTGCTCAGCGAATAGGCTACAACTGCAGGTGATGGATTAGCCACATCCCAACTTACTAACACTAATTTGGAATTTTTAACCTCCGCTTTAATATTCTTAGGGATGTCTGGAGCTATAAATTTAATAAAAGGTAAATAAAATAATTTGATTAAATAATATCAAATGACTAAAGATAATTTAAATATATCAATAACTGTTAATTTTTTCTATATAAAAATATATTAATAGGCTAATTTTCTCAAATCTCTCAATTTAATAGAAGCACTTGGAGACAGCTATTATGCCATGACCCATATTTTGCCCAGAAATGCAAATAAGCACTTTGTGAGACTTCCTAATCGCGGTCATAGTGAGATGAATCTGATCACTTCTCCAAATAATGAAACTGCCAAATTAATATTCTACCACTAAAAGTAATACGCAGTTTATACTTATTAGAACCTGCTTAGCAGAATGCTAGTGTAGCAAGACATTTTTGCCTGGAATAATTTATCGTTTAGCTAAATTTAGGCCAATGCTTTTCTGTAGATATAATATATTTCATATTTTAACTTCTTCATAAGAATATATGACAACTTAAATAAATTGCTTCCGATCGATATAAATAATTTTTGTATATAAGTAGTGTCGGGACTAGCGGTAAATCTGTAATATGAGATGTATTCAGCCTATTTTGGGAAAGCAAAGCTCTGTGAACTGCAATAGAAACGTCAGGTCTACTCATATCATTGTGGGAAAATTCTGCTAATAATCCTTCATCACCTTAAATGGAATAGGGCGAATGCATCTCATATAATTAATATTGTTGATTTTAATATAAAATACATAATTTCTTAACTGGCAATGATACCGTCGATTTAACTTTACTTAACCTCGTCTTGCATTACAATTCCCTTTTTCCTTTTGACTTACTGGCATCAGTATCAGAGATGCAGCCAGCTTTCCAGCGTTTTTGGCCTTACAATAGATGTTGATGTTAAGGTTACGAACCTGTCTGTCTAATTTTCTTGCTTGGGCAATTTTGACGATGCTTGAGAGGGGACAATTCGGCAGGAATCAGCAAACTAACAATATTTAAAATAGCAAATTGTATAAACTTCCATGAAGTCCATCAATTGACGATTGCTGAACTCATCATTGCCTCTTTCTGTGCTACGGCAAATTTTTTATCAGTAAATCCAATCTAAGGGCTTTCTAATCGATTACGTTACTCCTTTAGTATGTCATTTCAAGCTACTAAAATTTTAAAAATTTGTATATTTGCTTCGTGCATAAATACAAATTTCCAAAATTAAAATTTCCTCTATAACACCAATTCTGATCCAAATTATATTGTATTTGTATGCTAATCTTTCTAGCTGGCTGTCTCTTGACTGAACAACTGCAAAATACTCATTAAAATGTTTACCTGGACTGTTTATGTTTCACACCTCAACAATCCTGACATTAAGCCATCTCATTATAAATGTTATTTATGATAGTAAACTTAATAATAAAAATGTAAGCAATAATTTTTGTGGATTATCGACAACTTGCCAAGGCCTTGAGTGAAATTCTGAGTTTTTAACTCAAAAGGTTCGCTGTAAGTATAGATGGAAGTCCCAATACGAGGAGCCACTTTAAATGTGTACGTTGTAAGTGGACTCAAAGCATATATCTGATAACCTATTTAGGTTGCAAAGTGGAGAATATATGATTATTAATTATGTAAGTAAATGATTTAGTAGAAAAGTCATATATGGAAATGTACCATGTCGACGGTCCGACTCAAAAAATTAGCATGGATAATATGGACTCCAGACTATGTGCTTCGCTTGAGGTCTTCTTACTAACATGACCAAGTTGCGAAAAACAAGGTCAAACAACTTTATACTACGAGAGGGAGTGTGACAACACAAAATGCTACACCATCTTGGTCTTCATATCTTATATAATTGTATATCCTTCACCCTTAGACTAAAAGGTATTTTTGCTATAACACTCAACTAACTTAATTATTTTTTCGTATATAATAAGAGCTGCGAGACTAAAAGTAAATAAGTTATATGAAATGTAGCCGAGTGGTAATCGTGTCAAAACTGACGTGCTGCACTGTGACGGTTCAACTCTCGCAGAGTGCATTGATAATATACGTGCAAGGTCAAAACTGCAGTCTACTGCTGCCGCTATGATAACAACTTTTGAGAAAGCAAAGCTAAGTGAAATTGAATGAAAACGTCAGCTCTACTGATATCATTGAGGAAAAATTCTAGTACCAGTCCTTCATGACATTACGCAAACTATGGTGAATACATCTCATATATAATCAATTATCTTTGCTTAAATATGAATATTAATCTCAAGCCTTGATCTGGCACGGAATATTTTACAAATTTTGACTGTCTTTATTCTTATTTGGACTAGGCAAAACCACATGAGGTTGGCTTTTCTTGAAGAGATATTTGAGATTCAAAATAACTTTTGATAAGGTAGTGAGATGAATAACTAAAGTTATTAGAGATAACTCCTTCCTGTAATGTGAACTTATTTGCAATATAATGTAAATTACTTGAATCCTCCTCCCTCGTGTTGACCAGAATTTGGCTGGTTGCCGAAGAAATTTGTATCTGATAAGCTACAAAGCAGTTTCTCGTGGTTTCTGTCCACTGTACAAGCAACGCACTTTTTAATGCCCTCAGGATTTGAGCTCTGACATTGACCGTCTTTTGTGGAACTGGTAAGGTAGCATTGAAAAAAATATAAAAGTATTAATAAACACAGAGTTCTTTACAAGCCCTGCAGGTGCAGTGTACTATGAGTACGGTTATGGCAAAACAATTTTAATCAATTGTCACCAAATTAATATGAAAATCGATTTCGTTTAGATAAATATGGTAAGCTTGGCCAGACGGGTTGTTTACTGTGATATGAGAGGAATCAGCAGATGATACGATTTTACTTTATGTTAAGAGCTGTCTCTCTTTCTCTCTATATATATCTCCTTTGCGCCCCACCCCCATCAGTATAATCGGCTTGAGAAGAATTTATAAGTTTTCTCCTAAATAATTCTGTCTTATACAGAGAGCAGCACCGTTATGACGATCATAAAAACTTAATTTGCATATTTCAAACCTATTTGAGGAGACACCTCGTGAAATGTTCTCAGTCCTATCTTTTCTGCAAATGTTACTATGGTACTTGTAAGCACGGAAAATCGACTTGGTACCTTCTTAGGTATAATTCTTAGCATTTTAATCGGAATAAATAGATAATCAAAGGAATATCGTTGCTGCTAGATTAGAATACAAAGAACTAGGTACCGAAACTAAGGTAATAATAACGCAAAGAAAAACGTTAAAAGAATTACGCATATACATATGCAATGGATTCAGTTATTCTTTACATAATCGGATATACTAGCATTTTCTGAAATATTTTGTTCATTATTTTGAAATATAGCGCACGCAAACTCACATGTTTTTGCAGAAATCCATATTCCTTCGGATTTGCCACTGGGCGCCAATGTAAAAATTCGGATCACACATTCTGTACAAGGTGGTAGTTCACCTGCTTCAAACTCTTTGAGATTACCGTTATTACTCTCTATCAGATCAAAGGGTCGTGGCGTTCGGCAATCTCTTACAATTTCGTACCCAGTTGCACCCGTTGCTGGCTCCATCCCTACTGTCAAGGAAGATTCCGTCCTTTTGATGAGCCGAAGATTTGTAGGATTCATAGGAGCTTATTACCATTAGGAAAGGGTATAAAATGGATAATTAATTAAGTATTACATTTATGGCACAAATACTTCACTGAAAGTAAAGAGTAGCAAAAGATTGTCCCATAACCGATGATGGAGGAAACGGAAGCTAGTTAAACTGATAAGTAAAGACCAGTGAAAGTACATATTGCATGACAGAAATTCTTGAAATAATGCGGATGGATGGTAAACGAAATAAGATGGGAGCATAAAATAGTTCAATAAATTGGCTAAGAAAAAATTAAATGAATGGTTAAAGAAATATTAAAAATGCAGTAAAATGTAATAAATAAAAAGATAAATACTCAAATAAAGTTGAAAAAAAATTATAAAATAGAACTAGCTAATAAAATTATAGAGTAAAAATTAGA